TTGTCTCCTGTGCTGGCTTTTCGGGTCTCTTACTTGCTGGTTTCCCGTGGCCTGTTGCTTTGTCTCCTGTGCTGACTTTTCGGGTCCCTTGCTGGCTGGATTCCCGTGGCTGATTGGGGGGATTTCCGTGGCTGTTTTTCTATTTTTATGTGCAGAATTCCTGCTGTTGTTTTGTTGTCTTTTGGCCTTCTATTTGGTGACTTTTGGACTTTCATTTCCCCAAATTTGATTGAGATATTTAATGTGTTTTGGTGGTTGTTTGTCTCCCCTTTCTTCCTATATATAGGGGCTATTTTGAGGCATAAAAAGAGTTGCTTATGATGAGATTTTTGGAATAGAAACCCGCGGGTTTTTTTGGAAAAGCTTGCGAACTTGTTCCACCTCTCCTCTTCTTCTCCTCTAGGATAGCTTGCGAGCTATGTCTCTCTTCGACTTAGCTTCTAACCTCTTCTTCTCTCCATGGTGATCACTCCAAATGTATCCTTCTTCTCGATGAATGCAAGCTACTTTAGGTGTGGTCTTTGTTCGTATTTGTAAGAGTCAGAAGTTGTATATGTCTTTTTATTATGATATATAAGTGTCTTTTTTGTAGTATTTTGAATCTTTTTGACAATTTGTATATTTTCTATTATCTAGAAAGCATTACTATTTGCTTGCAAAAATTTGGGGCCCTTCCCAAATTTTTGCTCGCATCAATTTGATATCATAGCGGGTTAGCAAATCCCGATTTGTTGTTTGAGTCTGTGGTGTCAAGTGAATCTAAATTTTTATTGAGTCTTCCTTTTTTAAGTCAAGATGGATAAACATCAAGTGAAAAGCAAGCAAGAAAGTAAGCCAAAAGATTTTGAAGAATGGATCTCGCCACAAGAAAATTCTTCAGACCCGATACAGTTCGAGCTTCTCGAGATTCAAAAACAATTGCAATTATGTGACAAGAGATTCGAGTCCAAGAAGCGTTCACTACAAGCAGAATTTGAACGAGAAATGGAAGCCATCAAACGAAAGTATGATATTCTAATCCAAGAATCTGAAATGCCGAATCTCCAAAATTTTGAAGCTTCTTCATCAGGAGATGAGCCTTTTTAAGTGAGGGAGAATCTAATGTAGGCAGGGGGGTCAATTCTTCTTGTCCATGGGCTGCTTGTTGTTCTCAGTTTGGAGATGTTTACTGCTCACGGATTGGGCCTTGGCTGCTCGGCATTGGCTCAAAATTCTTGATTTTACTTGATGTTAGCGCATTAATGTTTGAGCTGAAGTTTAGGTCAATGATTGGAGATTAAATGCACTTCCTAGCTCATTACATCAAAAATGTATGTTTTATTTCAAGAGGAGTTTATTGGAGTGGACTTATGCCTCTTCCCCTCCCTTTGCCTTCTCGGTTTTCCCTTGCTAGTTGGTTTCCCGTGCTCTGCCTCTTTGTCTCCTGTGCTGGCTTTTCGGGTCCCTTGCTGGCTGGTTTCCCGTGGCCTGTTGCTTTGTCTCCTGTGCTGATTTTTTGGGTCCCTTGCTGGCTGGATTTCTGTGGCTGATTGGGGGGATTCCCGTGGCTGTTTTTCTATTTTTCTGTGCAAAATTCCTAATGTTGTTTTGCTGTCTTTTGATCTTCTATTAGGTGACTTTTGGCCTTTCATTTCCCCAAATTTGATTGAGATATTTAATGTGTTTTGGTGGTTGTTTGTCTCCCCTTTCTTCCTATATATAGGGGCTATTTTAAGGCTTAAAAAGAGTTGCTTATGATGAGATTTTTGGAATAGAAACCTGCAGGTTTTTTTGGAAAAGCTTGCGAGCTTGTTCCACCTCTCCTCTTCTTCTCCTCTAGGATAGCTTGTGAGTTATGCCTCTCTTCGTCTCAGCTTCTAACCTCTTCTTCTCTTCATGGTGATCACTCCAAATGTATCCTTCTTCTCGATAAATGCAAGCTACTTTAGATGTGGTTTTTGTTCGTGTTTGTAAGAGTCAGAAGTTGTATGTATGTTTTTATTATGATATTAAAGTGTCTTTTTTGTAGTATTTTCACACACACACACACTCACACATCCACCCACCCACCCACGCACGCACACGCGCGCGCGCGCACACACACAGATATAATCGGATCGATAGATCTGCCGTCATCAGCCGGACACCTCCTTATACTAGCATCAACAGACTATTTATCTAAGTGTGCAGAAACGGCTCAATTAAAATAAGTCACGTCCGAGCACATGATTTACGTGTACCATGCCATATAATTTCAGACAAAGACATAGCATTCATTGGCTAGCACAGTAGTAACAGTGGCATTCTATGATAAATGGTTAACCAAGAAATCCTCAAAGTGTTCTAGGCAAGATCAGATAAATAATCTCGAAAAAGAATGTCACTCACCTGAACAAAATGGCTCTATCAAGCGTTCAAATACCTCATCCCCAAGATTGCGCCTTACAAACTCCTCAACCGTTTCCTCATGCCCCTGAAACCTTTCAACAAAACTAGATTACTTACCTTCTTATTTTTAAATCAGAAGGAGCTGACTGGCAAGGTTAATGATTACAAACTGGTGGAGGAGGCCTGATGCCTATAGCACCAAATCCAGCTCTCAATTTACCACCAAAGCTCAGCAATTCAAAGAAGGGTATATCAGTAGGTTTTGAAGGAACAGGAAGAAGTTTCCCGTTCCATAGAACAAAGCGTGGTGCATTTGGATCACCTAACACAAGATCATCCTTCAAACCACTATCAACCTGTGATGAAATTACACGTAATGAGAAAGCTCAGAATTTGAGAGGAAAGAGCGACTAGGATTATCTAAACCAAAACTGAGACAGGAATCATCTGTCATTAGTTTAGTAGGCATGAGATGGAAAAATCAAAAACTAGTTATCTAAATATCTGCAGCAGATAACTGGATACCATTAGCATATTTTTCTTAATAAAAATATTAGTCTACTTAGTCATTTAAGAATCAAGGAAACAATTTAACTAGTTTCATATTATTTTCTGCGACATCTTAGTGACAGTATATTTTGGGGTAGCTTAAGCAGTCTAAAAGTCATGGGCCTAACTCACAGCTAAACATCATTACGGCACTTCAAAGTTAAATACTGATTAAAACTTGAATAGAGTTTTCATGGAGCTCATCTTCAATTTTATTTTTCTTGCATCCATTATGGTAATCATTTTGGAGTGTTTCTTACCACTACTAGATTTGTATACATTAATAATACAATGTGATATTGTTTTCAATGTCTTTTTCATCTTTAAAAAAGAATTACGGCAAGTGCTTTTCTCCAAAACATCAAAAAAGTAAGCAGTACGGGCCTCAAAATAATAACAAATAATCGATGATTTCCGATGATAAATAACATTCAAACGTCTTACAAGCTAAGCCAATTATATATTGTCACAACCCGGCCCGGCTGCTCCACTTAAAGAGGCGGGAATAAAAGTCGGACGGTATGATCAAATCATTTTAATTCATAAGTAATACAACATTAAAACATCATATTTTCTCCTTTTTTCTGAAGAGTCACTAACAAAATTCCTCAAATACTTAACATTTGTAAAGATCATGAATTACATGTTTTCAATGTTGCATCGCTCTATAAACAAATTCATCCCTTTCTGCCATTTCTAAATCACGGAAGACTTATCTAAAACATTTTATTTAATAGGATGAGTTTACAAAGTAAACTCTATGGGTAACTGTTAAAACAATCAATATGAAATTAAAAAAAAAATACAATACACATATAACCTTTAATATACATCTTATTCATTTCCCCTCCTTATCTTTATTTTATTCATTTCAGTTATTTATACATATTCAGTCATATTCCTTTATAACATTTATAAAGCTTTAATATTTATTTATTTTCCCATTTAATTTGTATAGGAGCACTGTCTATATGTACCAAAGGTACAACCATTTCCATTTCCATTTCCATTTTTCTTTTCCATAACCATTTCCTTTTTACGTGCACGATTACGTTGCTTCCCCAATCAATATCATACAGGATGAACTCCTGTGAGTTTGCATGCACATCCTTTTTCCTTTCTTTTTCATTTTATTTTTATTTATCATTCATTCAATTGTATATCATTCATTCATATATCTACTTTTGATGCACATATATGTGTCAATATAAGTATAAAGGCTTTATAACTTTACTTTATATTTTTCTTATATGCATTTTCTTTACATAAAATTACTTTCACATTCATGTATACTTGTATAAACATTGCTTATTTCATAAGTAATAATTATAAAAACAATTCAAGAGTCTTAAAATGTTTATGTAACATACTACTAAAAAAATAGAAAAGAATACAATAAAGAAAATTCTGAAAATACCCACTTAAATGTTTTGGCTTCAACACTTTTCAAATTCTCAACTCTTGTGACGATCTTTCTTAATACAATCTCTAATCTCCCTGAGAATTCTCTTATTGGCGTCGATATTTCACCTTCGCACATAAGGTTAATCAAATTCTTGTCTAATCCATCTAATCCAATTGATATTAACATCACTAAACAAATTTGAAGAAATTCTTAAAACTTAAAATCATGAAATTCCTAAATTGTATCATTTACCTCAAAGACCCTTTCTTTCTTACTGAATCAGACTTCCACCAAATTTTGATTTCTTCATTTCCCTTCTAAAATCGTCATAGAATAAATTTTAATAATTTCTATTCTACAAAATTTAACTGAAGATATATGATAAAAATCACTTACAAAGGAGGATTATTCCAACCCAAATTCCTTCTTTTTTTCTTTCCCAAATTCTTTCTCTCCGCTTTCAATCTATTCCTTTGGCCCTAATGGAACATCCTCATTGTTTAGATGAAGAAATAGGAAAGGGTTTATACAAAAATCAACAAACCTTCTTCTTTTTTTTTCTCAGTCGTTACCCTTCAACAGAAACTTTCACTCTCGTGGTTTCTTCTACCGGAATGAATGAAACGAGTTTTCTCTCAAGAGTAGTTAACTTACTCCTACGGACCCGATCCTTCGCTCAGAATCGCAAACCGCCACTTCTAGGTTCGCCCATACTCATGTTCGGCTCCGCCGAGTGTATGCCCTTCATTTCATTCGCAAAGCTAACCCCTTCCTGGGGTTGCGATTTTAATAGAAGGGATGGCCAGCTCGGTTGAACCGGCCACACAACCGGCCCTTTACATATATATGAACAGAAGTTTCAGCCCAAAAGAAAATATGATACTAACTCTCAACAAAAGATTGTACCAACAGTCTGACAAAAACAACAAAAAAAAAACAATCTAGTGAAATTTTATAAGATGCAAATGCAAAATTGGAATAATGCTACATAAATGTGGTTAGAGTATACACCCATTACAATCCTTTGGAGCTATTGTAATAACTGGTTTGACTAGCCGATTCAATTGAACAAGCCAACCCTTATATTAAAACCGTGAACATCAGAGGCAGAACTGAGCAGAGACATGCGTGACTGGAGTAGACCGAACGCGCGTGCATAAGAGGTTTAGAGAGTTCGTTTTGCTATTTTGAGCGAACGATCGTGTTTCGGGATAAATTTTACTAACTCTTTTTCATTCCTATCGCTAAAGAAGGAAGAATGTTTGTTTTCCATTTTTATATAAATCTTTCCCTATTTCTTCATCTAATCAGTGAGGGATATTTAATTGAAGGCAAAAGAAGAGATTGAAAGTGGAAAAGATGAATTTTGAGAAAAAGAGGATAGCAATCGGAAATTCTTTTCTTCTAAAAGTGAAATATAGTAAGTAAACTATTAATTGAGTTTATTTATATACGAATTTATATCCTCAAATGCTAATTGAAGAAATCATTTTATGTTGAAAGAATCCAAATGATATAGACTTTGGTTTGACGGTAGAGGTAGGAAGATTTACAAGGAAAGAAAGGAAGATTTTATGAGATAATTTCATATGGAAGAAATCAAATATTTATTGAGACATTTAAATTGGGATTTAATGTTAATTAAATTATTATGTTATTGTGAATAGTTAAAGGGTTTCATTACAAAATGAATATTGGAAGAGGATAATCAAAGTGGGTAATTATAATTGTGTATAAATTTTATTATTGTATTTTCATTTTCTTTTTGAAAAAAATATTTATGATAATGGTGGGTGATTATCATTGTGTATAGATGTTTTATATTTTATTGTTAAACATCTATTTAAATTCTAAAAGTAATGTTAACTTATCTTTTGATATTATTATGTGAGAAGATTCAAATGAATATCTGATATGTATTAAGGATATAAATGCATATGTAAAGGAAATAGATATATGATACTTACAGACACAAGAATATAAGTAAAGAATGATGAAAGAATAATATGACCTATATGATAAATAAAAGGTATAAATAAACAAATGATGAAAAAAAAGGATATGCATGCAAAATTACAGAAGTTCACCCCCGTATGATATTGGTTAGGGAAGCAACTTATCCGTGCACGTTAAATGGAAATGATTGTAGCATCGGTACATTTAGACTGTGATACTGTACTAATAAAATTAAAAAATTGATACACGTTAAAGTGTTATAAACGTTATAAATGAATATGATATGATATGTATAAATGAATAAATGAAATGAAATGAAACAAAAAAAGAAATGAAATGTATATCAAATGTTAAATGAACAGACATATATCAAAGGTTATATTTATTGTATTTTATATATGTTTAATTGTTATACATATAGAAATTACTCATTGAGTTTACTTTGTAAACTAATTCCATTAAATAATTATTTTCAGATAATCTTCAGAGAATTAGAAATGACTAAAATGGAAGAGTATGTCTATAGATGATGGTGCACCAATAAAAACAGGTAAATTATGACTGATATAAATACTTAGTTTTGACAAAAGTGATATGAATAGATAGTATGGAATATTTTTAATAGTTGCTCTTCATTTGTATTGAAAAGTTTTATGTTAATTTGCTTATGAAAGGAATGAAATGTTACTACCATCCGATTTTTCATTTCCGCTTCGTTAATTCGAATATCCGGGCCGGGTCGTGACAGTTATCTTTTTACTAAGAAAATGGTAAGCCTTCCTAAAGAGCTTCTTTATAAAAGTAGGATTAATTAGTAAATTGCGTAAATCCAAGCTTATTAAATTTTTAGAGGGCTAAAACCTGAAAAATGGTTGGCACGACAAGTATTAAATCTTGTTAAATCTTGACGTATTGTTTATCTATTTGTATCAAGATTTATGATTTGTGAGAAAGAAATCCATAAATCTTTAAATCATTTAAATAGTGTGATTTAACAAATCCAAGATTTAACCAATAAAGGAGCTAAAATGGAATTTATCAAAACAATAGGGTTTAAAGACTCCCAGCTTATGTATGGAAGGATTTAAGTTAAATCGTGTTTTTGGAAGGATTTAAGTTAAATCGTGTTTAAAATATGCACCTTAAAGAATGGAAAAGCCTGGCAAACTTAAGATGTACAACAACAACAAGCCTTTATCCCACTACGTGGGGTCGGCTATATGAATCCATTTTCACCATTGTGTTTTATTAACAATTAAATTCTCATTTAAATCTAATTAAAAATTATAATTTTTAATCTTTTTTAACCAAGTCTTTTTAGGTCTATCTCTACCCTTTCTAAAAATAGGTCGGAACTAATACATTTAGGATTAGAAGGCCAAAGTTTTTTGTGACTAAACTATCTAAGGCGACTCTAAAATTTTATCTACCACCGGAGCTACTACAACTTCACGTATATACTCTTTTCACATTCTGCGTTTAAGATTAAAGTTACTCATCCACCTGAGCATCATCATCACTACAACACTTAATTTTAAGCTTCTCTTTTAATGGTCAACATTCTATATCATAACGGATTGTAGTTCTCAACACCATATTATAAAATTTTCCCTTAAATTTGAGGGATACTTTTCTATAACATAATAGACCCGAAGCATTACTCCACTTCAACCATCCAACTTGAATTCTACTAATAATATCCCCATCTATTTCACCATCGCTTTAAACAATAGACCAGAGATATCTAAAATGGACAATCATTTTAATAACTTGATCACCCAATATCACAATCTCACCACTAGATCTATTACAATTAAAATTACACTCCATGTACTCGATTTTAGATCTAATAAAGCAAAACCTTTAACTTTAATGTTGACCTCCACAATTGAAGTTTTTCATCAACTCTCTCTCTAGTCTTATCAATAAGAAGAATATCATCAGGAAAAAACATACACCAAGGTACATCCTCTTGCAAATGTCTAGTAAGAACATCCACGACTAAAGCAAGCAGATATGGGCTTAAAGTCGATCATTGATGTATTCCAACTAAAATAGGAAAATACTTGGTTAAAGCACCTTGCGTTTGAACATAAGTATAGCTCTTGTATACGTATCCTTAATGACTTGAATATAAGCATTACTAACTCCCTTCTTTTCTAGAACTCTCTCAAGCCCATCTCTTAGAACTTTATTATATGTTTTCTCTAAATCAATAAATATCATACGTAAATCCTCCTTAATCTTCTATACTTCTCCATCAAACTCCTCAAAAAATATATAGCTTCAATAGCTGACCTACCAAGCATGAATCCAAATCAATTTTGAGAAACACTAGTATCACGCCAAAACCTATACTCAATTACTCTCATCCATAATTTTAATGTATGACGCATTAACTTAATTCCTCTATAATTCATACAATCTTATACATTGTCTTTATTCTTAAAAATAAAAACCAAAACACTCTATATACACTCATCTGGCATTTTTTTAAAAAAGTTTAATAAGTCAAGAAATTCCTTGACCTTCTAAGCATTTTTACACTTCAATTTGAATATCATCAGATCCTACTATTTTTTTCACAATTCATTTTTTAAAGTCTCTCCAGCTTTGATTTTACTAGCAAAATAATAAAAACAAAAATCTTTATTTTCATCTATGGTGTTAAGGTCATTAAAGTAAATTATATTCTCATAAGCTTCATTGAAAAATTTATCAAAATATCTCATCCACCTATGTTCAATATCCTCTTCTAAAATTTATCAAAAGTTTATATCATAATTATAATTTTATGGACTAGCTTCTTTGCCCAGTTATCACACACCTGGGGCGTTGATGCAACAGCCCTTACGCACTTTTCGCAGTATTCAGGCCATACATCATGTTTATTTAATGTTCTGGCATTAACAAATGTATTAAAGATTTATGCCATGATTATTTGATAAATTTAACACAAGTTGTTGACTACCTAATGCAACATTCCATTATTATCATTGAGGACTTGGACCAGGCAACAACACTATTTGGTAAACTTAAGGTATAATTGATAAAGATGGAACTAAACAATTAGGGTGACACCAACTTGCTAAAGGTAGAACTGCAGAAATTAGAGGTATTACTGAGGCCTCATTAAACTCCCAGCAAAGCGCAGTCCAGACCATGGCCTAAAAAATCAAGGGTCTGTGGCACTCAATTTGCTAGGTAAAAGGCAGGGCAAGTGATTCAGCGTACATGGTGACACAACTGGGGCATTTCAGTACAGAGTGCTGTTTCGTACTAGCTAGCCAAAGGACAATGCAATTCAAAGCAAAAACTATTAAGGCCTCAAAAAGGCATCTAAACTCCTATGTTTCAAATTTTAACTACCATTCATAGCTAGAAAATCAGCTATAGAATAAAAACATGTGCGACGCAAAGAAATCCACTGATTTACCAAGTGTATGAGCCATATTCCCCATGGACATCTAATTTCGATAGATGAAAAAGATGGAAACCAAAACGTAAAACGTATCTAGAAGCAGGCATACCGCCATGGATAGAACCGCGTCAGACGGCTGGAAGCTATTAGGGCCCTCTTCCCAGAGGTAACCGTCTCTCTCCATGGTAATGATGTTCCCGCCAACGCGATCCCGAGCCTCCGTTACCAGAATCTCCGAAACTGCACTGGCGTGCCGAGTCGCCAGCGCTTGGGCAGTGCAGAGGCCGTTGATTCCCCCACCGACAACAACGCAGTCAACTGAGATTCGGCCAGCAGGGGATCCGTCGCTGTCCCCACCACCGCGGCCCATCGGTACAGCCACCTCGCTCGTCACGGAGCATCTGACAAGTTGTCTCAGAAGACGGCGGCGAAAGCCTTCGAGGCCGGGGGAAATAGGGCATGGCGGTTTGGTAGAAATAGAGATGGCAGCGGCGGACATCGCACAAACGCGAGAACAATAAAAGGAGCAAACACGCGCAGAGTTATCCCTTTGTCGATTTTCTTTCTCGTGTTGGTTGATCAGTGACGATTACCATGTAGCCGTTCCTACGGCTTCATATAAGTACACTATAAATGTAAATATAAGAAATATACGTATATGGAAGCAAATATAAGAAATTTGAAATTTAAACATAGCAAAATTTGACAAAGATATTATGACCCAAAGTTTTTTTCATAACGTGGGTTTTAAAATAATCTTTCATGAATTACTTTTAAAAATTAAATATTCACTAATCATAATAAGGACAAACTATATCCATATGTTCCCTAAAAATCTCTCATAATTAAGATATGAAACTATTTATGATTTATTTTTATTTTGATAATTAAGAATGCCCTACATTTAACTATATCTCATGATTTGGTGCCTAAAACTACACTTATTTAAGGAATTTTGTATATCAAAAATTAAATAAATTGGTACAATGACTATGATTTGTGTAAAATCATTAAAAAAAATCATTGAAGATATGGATCCAACCAAAGACATCTTATGTATGCCCATCACTAAGTAGACCAACCAGTGATAAGGAAATTAAAGATTATGGACCAAATCATAGTTAGTATGCTAATGCTATTATTATTATTATATACATTTACACATAATATAATATAAAGATTTAAAAGTCATCATTCTCCCTTTTTAAAAGACAAAACTAAAAGCAAACTCAATTATGGATACCCAAAGTAAGGCCGTGCAAATCTTTTTTCCCTAGGATGGGTTAGCCTAATGAAGGACAAAAATTCAAAAGAAAAAAAAAATTAGAAAGCTAGAACTTATAGCTCACGCGATTACCTGTCAAATTTGAATTAGCAATAGTAAAGTTTGAAGGAGCCCAAAAAAAATATTAAGTCTTTGAAGCTTAGCGATATATTAGCCTAAAAGGAGGGAGTTGTGGCTTTAAAGGAGAGTGACCTTAGATGTTAGACTTATAACTTCACAATTTAAAGGAAAGAGTTGTCCAAATGTGGGTCTTACAACATTGGCTACAAGATATCAAAAGAATTGTCCTAAGGAAATGAATATGACACAACTCTATTGAGAAAGACTTCTACCATGAATATGTCATATAATCCTAATGAGGTTGCCCAATGACAATACATGTAAGTTACAATAATAAAACATCATCAAATAATAAAATAATAAGCATTTTTATTTCTTTTCATTTGTTACATCAAAACAATAATGGAAAATAAACTAGTACAATTTCTCTCACATCAACCTACATACATAAATAATTAGATTGTCAAAAGAATACATCTATAAATGAAAACATACCTACAGTTTGGACTTTAATATTATCAACCATTTGGATACTTAGCATGGGCATTACTCTTTCCTAAACTGACATGAAAGTTACAATAATGAGAAACTCATGCTTAATAAGCTATGCGAGACATACTAAAGAATTCAATATTCGCATTTAAAATAAATTGTACAAAAGCTAAACATGTTATAAATATAAAGTTATACAATTTTAATTTAAAGTGACATAGCACTTGTGTAAAACTCTATCATTAATATGATTACAACAGTGTGACTAGTATCAATAATAGTTATGAGCCAACAATAGGATCTGTTCAACAGTAATAACATAAACATTAGTTGAACTTGAACGTTATAACAATATAAATATAACTTGATCTTGAATATGATATTAGAATAGAACACTTGATGAAACATAACATAAAACACATAAATCAAAACATGTTTCAAATTTTTATAGCATATTTCCCAAAGCCTCCTTATACCTTCACTTCTATGTTACCTCCATTTAATCATAATAGTTTGATAACCCTTATAACTTCACTTTTACTTATACCTTCACTTATTTATCTCACATATGTTTATGTGAACACAGACCCTTATAACTCCATTTTTGGTGCACAGAACATAAAACAAACATCACTTGTGACATCTCTTTTCTTCCTTCTTCTCCTATGTTCATCACTAGACATGTCAATATTGGACCCGACCCGAAAACCCAATCCGAACCCGACCCGTAATTTTCGGGTTCGGGTTGACTCGACGGGTTGCCGGGTCAACCCGAAAACCCGTTTAACTTAAAATTTTTTGATTCCTGCCTCTTTGCCCGTTGTTCCCTGCGCGGTCGCAACCTCGCATGCACCCCTCGTCGCTTTCTAGCCCTCGCCCACGTGTGCGCACTGCGTCCCGCCGCGCCCTCGCCAGCCCCACATTCGCGTCAGGCACCAATTTCACTATGCGCGGCCAGTTCCGCATCAAGCCATCGCCTGTCCGTGGGTCGAGTCAGGTTGACCCGAACTCGAAGCGGGTCAGGTTAGGGTCCTTAAAATCGACCAGTTTATAAAAATGGGTCGGGTTGACCCGAACCCGAATAGTGCCGGGTCAATTCCGGGTTGACCCGAACCCGACCCGTAACCCGAAATTGACAGGTCTATTCATCACTCAACCATGGAAAATATCAACATATAGAAGCAACATTTTAGCATGCTAAAAAAATACATGAAATTTCACATGTAAGATGAAGTTAGTAGTGGGTACGGGATAAAACTTGTATACACATGCAACAGTAAAGGATTCTAGCCCCTTGTAACTCCTGGCAATTCCATGACACAAATAGAATCTCGAAGGTAAACAACATAAAATAACGGTAGACAACATAAAATTCAATTAGATGAAAATGTATATTTTTAGAAAATTACCAAATTATCAAAGATTGTGTAAATTAATATTTTTATTGTACTATAATATTATTTTCAACATATAGATAATTTTTCACTCAATACAAACCCATAAATTTCAAAACCCGTCATAAAATTTTCAAAAAATATTCAAAATGTACATAATTATAATTTTTATAATATATAAAAAGTTATATAGTAAAAGTTTTATCTTTGCAAAATTATCTATATTTTTTACTAAAGGATACAAAATTTTAATCGAAATATTCGCTAAAACTTATACATTTTTTAAAATTGAGATATACATAATTAATGTGACTTACCACAAGAGAAACAAGTTTCTCAACTGGACCGACGGACAAAAAATGGCCCGAACTCGCCCAAAATTGGATATTTTGTTTTCTCTTTCCTCTGTTTTCTTCCTTAATTCCTCACCAAGCTCTATGTCATGCATCCCTCATATTAAATGGCATTTTATTTTATAATAATGCATTAGTGCATTAGTATATTATTAAAAAATATAAATTATTCTAATAATTTAATATTATATATTAATTTAATCTAAATTATTTTATAACTTCAAATTTGAAAAATCCAAGAATTAAAAAAATTCAAAAAATAGCAAATTTTATTTTAAAAATTATGGTGAAATCATTTTGCAAAATAGACACCTAACGCTCCCAAAAAACTCACTTGTACCTACATGTGCTAATTTTTTGAGAAATTTTAATTGTGTTTAAAAAATATAAAAAAAATTATGGAAGCTAAAACACAATATTATAAATGTTCAAGCTAAGACGGGTGTTTATTTGAACTTATTATGACTCTGAAAATAAATATTAACTATTCTAGATAAAAAATTCTTATAAAATTTTTTTGGGGTTTCACAATCTACTCACCTTTAAAAAAAATATCGTCCTCAATATTTCTAAAGCAGAATGAGTCAGAATAAACCTGGATACAACTGCTTTATATTAAATTTCTTCTCCCACGTAGCCTCTCTAATAGTTCTATGCATCCATTGTACTTTGACTATAGGAATTTGTTCGTTTCTCAATTTTTTCACATCATATATCAAAATCTTTTCGGGCTCTTCCCTATATTGTATATTCAGACGAACCTCAACATCCTCAAAAGATAATTTTTTCCCATAATCAAACATCCACTTTCTCTAATAATATATATGAAACATATTGTGTACATTGGACATATAATCAGGTAACAATAACCTGTAAACAATACTATCAATCCGCTTAATGATCTCAAAAGGTCTAATATATCTTGGACTGAGCTTGCTAATTCTTTCAAATCTACTAACACCTTTTAGATGGCTAACTTTGACATAAATAAGGTCACCAATCTAAACTCAGCCAACTTGTAATTTTGATTGTAACACTTCTTCTATGTGTCTTATGCAGATTTTTACATTTCTCTAATCAAGTTGATCTTTGCAGTAATATCATCCACAAAGGTTGAACCTATCACATGTCTATCTCCCACCTTTGTCAAAGTTAAAGGAGTCCTACATTTCCTAACATATAAAGCTTCATAAGGAGTAATGTTTATGTTGAATTAATAAATATTATTATAAGTTGTGGGCTCTAAATATTCAGCCCTGACCTCCCCCGCATTTTTTTTTTTTGCGGGATTTTTAATGGATTAAGTTTTTGGGTAAATTTTGGGAAGACATATGAGTTTATAGACAAGACACTACCCTAAACCCTAAACCCTAAATATGAATGTTCATCTAAGGGGATAAATTTGAATCCACCTTAGCTAATAGATGACTTTATGTCATATCAATTATATCCTATTGATACATATCTCAAGGATTTGATGCCATTAAGAAGCATATTGGCTATGGCCATAACTATAATTTAATGGTGTCATTTGGCGGCAAAACCGCCAGACAGAGGATATGTACCACATTTTACTAGCAAGAGATTATTTGAGAATATATCATAATGATATTTTTGACTAGGCATTAGCTCTACATGAGCTGAAATAGTTTTTAATTTATCCATCCTAGTACACTATTGCAGAGGGTGAATGAATTTTACTTTAAATGATTTGATGGATTATTTCAATTTTAAATGTTTGGATTTTTTATATTTTTAGATTTTGGATAGCATTATGAATTATTTGGAGTGGACCCCTCCGGTTGAGATTTGCCTTCAACACAATCATCATTAGAGTGTTTGGGGTCATTTCCATTTACAGATTGAACCTTGTCGACTCTGCCAATTTGTCGGCAGAGGATAAGGTTCATTGTTGGCTTCGTGATTTTATTAATAAATTTTCTTAGTTGAAGGCCTTGTATGAATATATAAAATAGATATTCTGGTTGACACCCTGATTGTATATCTATTTGA